TATACCACGAGCCCGAGTTGGATACGCGATGTTAAATAACCAAGGAGTCGCGTAACACGGTTAGCAATTGTCTTCCGGGATGGCTTAATGATTGGTATCCAGCGGGGACTGAAAAAAATCCCCCCCCCGCCCCTCCCAAATACAAAAGCGGCCATGCTTCACCAACTAGAGTACAGAGTGTTAATGTTAATGACTTCAACGATTGCGATCCTCGTTTTATATTAAATGGAAAGCCTCATACCAGGGCTAACGATTGTTAGGCTCCGGTCAAACGATCGCAACATTTCAACACAACACATCGCAATATTGTTGGGTGCAACATGTTGAGCGCGTTTGGCCACCCTGTTGCGACGTGTTGCGACATGTTGAGTATTAAAAATCGAACTAGTGTGCATGCCAGGGCGCAACATTGTAGCACGAACCTGGCCAGACGACTGCAGCATCATGCAACATCCACGAACGTTGCGTGAATAATTTGACCATTTTCAAACTTGGGCCAACAACACCCAACATGTCGCAACAGGTTGACCAAACGCGCTCAGTGCAACAATGTTGCAATATGTTGTGTTGAAATGGTGCGATCGTTTGGCCGGGGCTTTAGATTTTGATAAAATTCCTCACCAATTGTTCCTCCACGGTTCCACTTTCTGAATCGTTCTCTATACTGCCGCTGCATGTATCTTCAGTCTTTAGACACATGGTCCTTAGTTCCAACAGGTTTCTGTTGTCTTGGTCAGCCTTGTTCATAGTTAATATATAATAACATAATAATATTATTGTAATTCAACTATTCGGGCCTCTCTCATAATTTTAGGCTTTTGACGTTTACATTATGTATTTGTATTCATAGTATTGTTGTTACTTTTAGAATTCCATGTACCTTTCAACTTTTTCATTAGGTTTGTCATTTTATTTTCCGAGGGCCACAAGTTACAACATATTACTGACAATACATCTGTACGAAGTAATACTTCTGTAATGGCAATAGCTTCTAACTTGAAAAAGTAAACAATTAAGAATTAGTCGGCAAAATCGTTGAGTGGGACAAATGAAACGATAGTCTACAAGATTGAGCCGGAGAATCGTTTTGCGATTAACTATGCAAGTTATTTAAGAAGAGAATCTTACAGGCAGATATCTGTTTAGGCTGTTTCGGATCACAGGTAACAAGGATTTCCTCACCGTATGAGGTAGTCGTGATGTTTTCCGGAATAGTAAGCGCACTCATAAGCTTTTTTACCTTACGATATAATTACTTACGCTTCTAGTTGGAATTAAGCAAACAACCAATGCCGTAAAAGAAGTTAATTTAAGGATACTGCTAATCCTTGATCACACCATGTGATGGCTTCTTCAAATAGATTCAGCTTCACACAGGTCCTCGCACCTAATATTGCCACAAAGATACAATCACGTCACTTGAGGCTCATGTTAAAGTTCCCTGATAGTCCGTATCTAGGTGCCTACAGTGTATTAACAGCTCAGTTCAGGATATTGGTCGCGTCGTAAAGAAAGACGTAATTACATCATTTAACATCACGTGAGCAAAAGAAGCGAGTCTTAACGAACGAATACTGTACAACAACATTCTACAGATAGTGTATTTTACATTTATCGGTCGCTGAGATGTTTCGCGCTGGGAAAATGGAGCCAAAGTTTTGTACTATGTAATATAGCTCCCAAGAATTTCTTGAAGCTCAGGGGTGAGCTCCTCGCCCATGCCAGAAAGTGAGAGTCAAATGACTCCTGTCGAGCAAACTTTTGATTAGAAAGAATTACAAATTCTTTGTTCTCCGAAAAGTTATTTTTAATGGATAAATCTTTTGTTAGAAATGCTTCTTTCACTTACACTATTCCCAATATTTGCAGCCAGTGCAGAAATCACAAAACGATAAATAACTTTTGTGAAATACTAACAGACGAAGCTCATTTTTAAATACTAAATAGAGAAAACGTTCTCAAACTGACGCATACTAATTCAGTTGCAAGTTAATTTTCTTCCACATTTTTTGTCTATGCTAGTATTACGACGCGGAGATATAAATCGGCTTCAGAATGAGGATAGACGTACGGAACAAGGGTAAGAGATTAGTTACAGATTGTAGTTTATTTTAGCTGTGGAATTTGGCAGAGAGCACGATATTGACAATTAACGCCAGGTTTTAACAAATAAATACTTATGTTCCCTCCCTATTGGTTTTAACTGTACTTTACTGTGTTTAATCAACTGTATCAAAGCCACCTTTACCTGTTTCTATCGCCTTCATATAACCTGGCTGGAATTGCCTGGCGACCTCTGAATCGGCCTTTGCCTCGTGATAATTACCTATCGTTGAAATCAAGTACTGTTAAAACCACAACAACAAGGCGTGGAACAGAACAAAGCAATCCCTCCAGTCGCCATTAAAAAGATTAAAAACTGTGAAAAATATAGAATGATTCTCACCCAAATTGAAATGGGCCTTCGCTCTGTTCGTGAACAGTTCAGCATTAAGGTTTTTATCGTTACAGTTTACACTGATTCCTTCAGTGTAACAGACGATGGCGTAGTTGAATTCTCCTTTTCTGTATTCACTTTCGCCTTCATTGTTGAAAACCTCGGCGATTGTTTCATCTGAGGTCAAAAAGCAAAATGTTACTGAAGAAAATAAAACTGTTTTGATGCTAAGTTTTCGAAACTTTTGATATTAGTTATTTTTATCAATATATGTTTCCTCGCAGACCTTTTGCGTTCTGTGTAGCGTACGTACCCCTGTTTCTAATTGCAGGCTCAACACCATTCCTTCATGCTATTTGTTTCTCAATATACATTCAGTCAAGTGAAGTCAAGGCAACTGATGTGAACTGAACCGAACGGCGGTTAAATCTCAACTGAATCGTTCATGTTCAAAGCTTTAAACACACGCAGCTCAATTATTCCTAGCGGTTCACATAAGTGATGCTCTGAGTCTCTGTACAAATTCACCCTAAAAATGTACAGTACAATGAAATTAGGAACGTATATAAAGTTGTGGAAATATATTTATTGACGAGAGGTTATGTTGGTTGTTCTGTAAAATGATTACTTGCATCTGACGTTTCTTGTATTGTCCATTCTTACCTTTTGATCCGTCGTCTGGTCTGGACATAACGTCACCTGTGTTATTGGGACTGGCGGTTGCAGCACACGACATCACTTAGCGCTTGTCTAGGATATCACCTGCTTTAAATGAAATAAATTGGTCATTAGTTAGTTATTCATAAAGCCTGGTTTTCACTAGCGACGTAAGCACAAGCGCAAGCACAAGCAATAGGGATGACCCAAGTTAAAACGAAATTCGACGCAAACACAAGCACAAGCAAAATCATCCGAAGATAAGCACGTGTGGTAAATATCTTTGAGCTTGTGTTATGCCCGAGCGGTATTTCGTTTTCACTTATTTCAGCGCAAACGCAAGCATAAGCGCAAGCACAAGAAAAAGGAATAATTTTGATCCTTGTGGTTCCAGATTACCTCGCGCCTAAACAATTCGGAATGTTTGGATGATTTCGCTTGTGCGACCCTTGTTTACCGGATTAAACATTTATTCTATTCCACACGATTTTATAAACCAAACTTTTA